AACAAACATGCTCTTATTATGTCAATCCATGTAGTACAAAGTAGCTGATTAGTATGCCAACCCATTGAATTAACATGTAACATATTTAAACTTGAACTGGCGTAACGTGTTGGAGAGGTCGCATTACTTTGTACAACATCACTTACTTTTCTTGACATTCGTCTCTTTGCATGGCCACATTGTTGAATGATCAACATCTTAGTCTCCAGATTGTTTTCTCTTCAGGGTTTGCATAGTTCATGAGAGAAACGTAAACCAAGAGAACAATTGTTGATGAGGCTGTTGTCAATATGAAGAGGGCCCAGAAGCTGTTGGGGCTAAGACTTGCAGTTTATCCATCAAGTTTTAATGGAGACTCCCTTGGAAATGCCTAACACAAGGTTGCACAAAAAAGTTTAACAAAGGCCCATAAAGCCTTGGCTAACAAGTAGCATACTCTCTAACACAGTTTTTTTCTAACACATTCTTTATTATTGGAATTTGGAAGCTATAAAAGCATAACTGAAGCTAGTAAAAAAGAAATGACACCCGCAAAATTTGTGATTTCTAAATTTTTTTTGCTAGTTATAAGAATTGTGTATCATACGAACCATATTCTCCAATTTTATACAAAGGCCCGGCTTGAATAAACTCTATACAGTACTTTGCAATGAAAAATTTTGGCAGCAGGAACTTCAAGAAGAGCTTTAGCATACTCTTCAAGTGCTCCAAAGTGCCTCATGCTTTCAGGGTGAAACTGTTACACTTCCTGCACATAATTTTTCAAAAAGGATCTTGTACCATATCCAACCCTGATGTTACTGTTCCTTAATTGATCAATGTCATCTATGGTTTGTTCAAGCCGTCCAGAAGTTAGCATGCTGGCAAGGTTAGCTGTGTAAGTCTGTGTGATACAAACAACCATACCAGCATAACCATCTTTGATAAATTGTTGCGTAATTTATTCCCTATGTTCAATCAAATGAACCAAATCAGAATTAGTTCCATAATCCAAAAATGAAATAGTAGGAACTAGGAAGGACAAAACTTAGTTCCGGTATTTAAGGTACTCTTAATATTGATCTGTGATCAAAATTAGATTTTCACCTCAATAATACACATTTGATAATATACATTTACATTTAATATAGAGCTCAATAATATATTTATGCATATTATCAAAATAAAATTCTAATTTTTGATTTGAGAATAACACTTACTTAAGTTTTGTCCTAATAGGAGAGTAAACAAAATCTCAAATTGCCATCTAACTTGATAAGAGGGCCATCGCCAACCAATCCATGGTCCCAGTTTGATTCAGCATGGAACCTCTAATTTCAGGACTGTGGCTTCTTCCCAACACCCTTAGAATAAAGCCATTTTGGATAGTCATGGCCAATATTAAAATCCACATATATAGTATTTGTAAAAGGTTTCATGAATAAGAATAACCAAGTTCTATGCGCTACATTTGATTTAAGGGGGACTACCATCACCACTCTGGGATCAGTGTATGGCTGAGTGAATTCTGCGAACTGATATCGATATGAAATTATTGTTACATCAATTACTGCATCGAAATACTGCTTCATGCATACGCAAGAAGATGTGGAAACAAGTGTCATTAGCCAGCATTATGAGAAAAGCTTATTGAAAGCTATATGTAAGTGTGACAATATTGCATTTAGGAATATACTATAATTATTTAATTCTTACTTTGAAATAAACTTGCTTCACCTAATTATCATGCGTCATTGAAAGGATAGAATTTGTGTGTCAATAATGAATCCCTGGATGGACAAGACTTGTAAAAGGGTCAGAAATGATCCACACATACCCTTTCTTAATCATGTTCAACTTGTTTACAGTTTCAAACAGGTTTATGGCCAAAGGAAGGGACATATTAATAGCAACAAAGACTCTGGAATGGCCAAAATATTGCTTATTTGTACACCTGCTTTGCTAAGAGATCTATATAGATGAGATAACATTCTTGTGGATGAAAAATTTCTATCATCATATATTATGTTAACATTGAACCATTCAAAGGAATGAACAATAGCTGCTACTGCTTTCATTTGCTTCAACTGATTTGGTGAGGTTTGAACAAGGAAGGGCCACTTCAGAGTTGACTAGTTTGAAGTTGTATCAGCTAGTTTCATGGGGTCATTTTGGCTACAAATCTCAGCCTCTAAATTTGTTCTTCCCATGTTTGGGGTCCTATAATTGCTTCCATGTATAGTTTCTCAATAAAATCTCTAGCTGCAAAACAATGGTGGAAATTGTTAACCATAGCTTCTTAAAAAGATTTGGATCAAGCACAAGAAAATCCCACTATATACAATCTTATTTTTCTGTGATCAATCTATTGCTGCAATGGCCAAAACATCAAGGTTTCATGGAAAAACAAAGCACGTGTAAATCAAATATCACTCTATTAGAGAAGAAGAAAACGAGGAAATGAAACTATTTCATTACAATTCAGAAAATAAAGTTGTTGACTCAAAGAAGTGGCTTAAAAGCTATTACTTATGTGTTTGAGAAAGTTTTAAAAATTAAATTATTTCAATAATCATTTATATGTATAATTAATTATTATTATTATTATTATCAATTATAATTGAAATAAATTTTTGTTTGAATAAATTTTTTAAAAAATAATTTTAAAATATTTAATTTTGTTTGAAAAAAAAAATCAATTTTATTATAGTAAATAAGCTTTAAAAAATTGTTAGAAAATAATTTTAAGTTTTTAGATTCATAAAAAACAACTTTTATTTTTAAGACGAAAAAAAACACAACTTATATATTTCAGCTAGTTTCTCAAACAACTAACTTATTCTACAAACAATTTTTTTATTCATCAAATCAATTGAAATTTGGAAGAAAAAAAAAACACGGAGAAGATTTATCACAATGTATTTTATTTCTCCAAGTATTACATGACTTCTGTTAAGTATCTTTTGTTTTATCATTAATTTATTACTTTTTCTTAAATATGATTGATTAAATTTATGAATAATTAACTTATAATATCAAATTTTATAAATCTACATAAACTTAAAGTCTATTAATCTGATTTTTAATATGTCACAACAAATTAATTACTGAATTACACTAATTTTAAAAATTTATTTTTTTAGTAATTTTGCATAGCATAATTAACAAAATATTTATTCTTGACAACGAGGATATTTCTTATTACTATATTTCATTTTTCTTTAACTATTTAATTTATATTTTAACTTTATGTATCCATCTAAAAAATCATGTATATTAAAATTTAGTCAAATTTTTAATTTCTCCAGTTTTTAAATTTCTGAATCTGTTCTAGTATATAAAATATCATGATGGAGAGCACACAGAGAATTTTTTTTCTTCCCTAATTTATTTTGAGTAAAATAAGTTAGCTTAGGCGGGGAATGAATCCAAGCACACCAGTAAGTTGGAAATTTAATATATTAAGGCTCTTGCACATGAAGCTAACGTCAACTTTAGTTTTCATCATTTTTCCACATAGAAATTAAGTTTTACAAGATTTCATATTGTAAAATGAATTATAATTACAAAATTAAAAATGTGTTGTGCATATGATATGAAATTATGAGGAGTGAGAAATATAAACCTGCAAGGGCAGCTTGAGCCATGTGAGTTCCTTATCTGTACAGCATAAGCAAAACTTTGATTGCTGTAATGAAAGAAATCATGCAATGCCATCTTAATAGCCACTGCTATCTCCTCTTTACCGTTGCGAGAGTTGTTGTCCGTAATAACTCCTACTGTGCCCGTGCCATCATCACCTCCTGCATTTCCTTATGCAAATTCTAGCATGCTCATAAAACAAAGGAGAAGAACACATGCATGTTGCCCATTATTGCAAACTATTAACATCCATGGACTAGTTGTTGTTCATCATCTATATTCCTTAATTAATTTATAAGCACAAGAATAGGCTAACAACCAATGGTTGTGCATTATGAGACATTATTATTTTCTAACAACTAAGTATTTGAAGGGTTATTGTTATTATGTTCTAGTGTGTTAATAAAAGGTAATGTAATGGTTAAGAGTTACCTTACTATAAATTATGATTAGAGTATTAATTCATGTTCCTGCCATACGCTCAAACACGATTTAGACAAAAAAAAAAGAGTACCAACTTATGAAGTTGAACCGAGAAATACAATACAATCTCTTTAGGTTTTAGTGTTCTTTTTAAAATTTTCTGACAAAGTAGTATTAGAACTTAGGTTCTCAAAATTGAGAGAAAAACTTAGTAAGTTGAGAGATACCCTTAGTGACTCAAAATATGAAAAACAATGCTTTAAATTTGATTTAATCCCCTCATCTTACTAATGAAAATCATGAAAATTAGTGTTATTGTATATTTTGCTAGGTTCACAACATGCTTAGGAGGTTGTAGAGAAAGGTTATACCCAACCTAAAAATGAGGTTACTTTATTTCCAAATAAGAATGAGATTTTGTTGAAGAAATAGAAGGATCAACAATCACTTATGTACATCTATCAATGTTTAAATCAAATCATGTTTGAAATGGTGTCCAATCCTTTCTCCAAAAAAGCTCGAGAGATATAAGAAGTTAATGAGTTTAACACAATGATAATGATCACAATATTAATTTTTAATTTTAGAGGAATAAAAGGTTAAAAAAAAAAATTAAGGAACAAAAATTGAAACTCACTAATTTTACGGAACTAAAAACAGTTAAAAATATAGTAACAAAATGTTCAAGATTTGGTGGTAAAATTAAAATACTCATATTCATGTGTATATTTAAAAAGTATAATCGCAAAATTTAATTTTAAAATAATATACAATGTATTACTTAAAAGATTAATTAAGCAAGAAACAATTTGCATAATTTTTTTTTATACAATTTTAATGTCTATATTACTACTTCTAATTTGAACGGATATCAACTTTTTACTTTTCATATTTTTATATATATTAAGATAGATTACTCGTAAAATCGACTACAATAGAAGAAGCACTGTGATAAGTTAAACAAAAACAGAAGTTCCATAACCACCAAAGATTTTGATGTGATTGAAGATTCACAAGAGAGAAAGGTCAAACGAACGGGTCTATTATTGTTTGACACTCTTTTGACTTTTCCTTGTATCCAATAATAATGTATATCTGAATTCGTTTTCCATCAAGGCATGAAAGACCCCATTAGCACACAACATTCAGCATGATCCACATGCATCCAAAATGTCACTAAACATAATTGAGAACATCTTTGAGAACAAAGACCAATAGCAATGCTATTAGGTACATGAGGTATGCAGGGAAGGATGTCCAAAGAGGAAAAGTGGGCCGAAAGCAAGCAGTGAGGCCCATTACAGCACAAACTATTGCCACAATTAGCACATCAGCTGAGAATTCCCAAGTGATCTCACGCATGTATATCAGAATAGAGATCACCACAAAGCCAAGAATGTTGTTCATGAACACTGCTCCATAAATCTGCATTCACCCAACAACTCTTCATATAACTATATAGTTATATGCATGAAGCAGCTATACTTTAATTTGTTTCACGTACGTATACAACATCAATACTCTTGGTTCACGAATACATGTGTAAAGTATTCGTGTCTTTAAAAAATGCTATGAAAATCCAATATAGAGACATATTATTATGTATAAGATAGAAACATAACCAAAAATGGAATTTGTCCTTTCTATAAATTATTTCAAGAAGGGAATGAGATTGATATTATTTCCATTTGTTGCTAATATGAAGTGATTTATGATGAGAGCATTTATAATTTTTAGGCTTAATTATATTTTTTTGCCACTCATTTCATGAATTTCGCCATCAAGCTTTTGAAATTGTGCATTTTGTCATATAACTTTCAAAAAATTCTCATGTTGTCACCTCATTAATTAGTGACACCTTATTAATTTTTTATGTTTACTATTGACATGACACATTAATTACTTATGTAATATATCACCGGTTGACATGACATATAGTACTAACATAATATAATGTGACTTGTTAGTCGTCAACATAATATGTCTGCTATCAACATGTCGTGACAACGGTCAACGTGCCAAATTAATAATTAACTAAATGACAGATAATCAACTAACGAGATATCAAAAACAGATAAGGTATGGAAATTGAGTGGCACAATGTACAATGAAGCCTAATTTTTATTTTGTGTTTAGTAATGTTCAAAAGGTATGATCTTAATTTTGATTTGTGGAATTTTATAATATTTAATTGTATATCATAAACGTATTGCATCGTATATATATTTAGGATAATAGTGTATGGTATCGAATATGTATTGTATCTGTGCATCACCTTAGTTACAGAGTGTAGAAGTGAAAGTGTGAGAGGAAGATGATGTGATGACTAACCTCATACATTGTCTGAGAAGTATTGCTGCTCTTCTTATGGCTAGCTTCTTTGATTGCTGAGGTTGCTTCTCTAAAATTTGTGGCGAAGGGGACTAAAATGAATGAGATGAAAAATGATGAAATTCCTGCAGCTTCAGAGAATTTTCGGACACTTGCTATTAAGGGCTCTGCAAGTAGAGACAGTATAGTAATTCCCAGCACCACATATGCTATGGCCGTCAACCATGCAGATGCTCCTTTGGTTTGATTTTCTTCCATTACCCTTTCAACATCTTCCCAGGTCTAACACAATCATTTCAAAGGCCATGTGTAAATTTATGTTGTTCATTAAGTGTTTGGCCTAAAAGAAAGAAGAAAATGAGATCTTTTTTTTAGTAAAGGAATAGTGGAAATACTTGATGAATTTCCTGAGATGAAGATTTTGACTTGGCAGCTTCGCTGGAATTTGAGTTCATCCATTTTGCAAAACCTTCAATAAATTCGGTCTCACTAATTTCATCGTCTCGGTTTAGATCAAGATCTTGAACAAGTTTTGAAACCGCCTCCTCAGCATCTACAACCTTGCCAAACTGGATGCCCTTGACTACTTTTTCCAATTCAGATCTTGAAACGTGATTATCGTGGTTGACATCAATTTCCTCAAACAACCTGTAGCATCAGTTTCCACAGAACAGGTCAAAATAGTGAAAAACATATACCATTTTGTTGTGTCATTAGAGCTTATTTGGATGCAGTCCAAAAGAAGAGTTTCTCTACTAAAAATAACGAGTATGGAGAAACTCAAAAAAATTTCTATACTTAAATACTAACATGCTCTTAATATACATCCAAATCTTATCAACTTCAGATTTTGAACCTTTAATATCTATGAATATGATATTCGGTTCTTGTCACATAGTTGCAGTAAATGAATATCTAATTAATTTATCTGTACTATTTAATAGTGGATATGACAAACAAGATCAATCGTGGACCTTCTGATAGCGTCTTTGTCAGGCGTGCCATCATCTTGGCGCAGCTTACCAACCATATCATTCTGAGCATGCTTTAAGACTTCAGATATAAGATGTCCCTTCAACTCACGTTCCTTTCTCACATGTTCAATCCATGGCTTGATAAAAGTCTGTTCAGAATAAAACAATAAGCATCTGCTTAGATAGTGGCGTGGAAAAAACTAGGGATGAAAGGAAAGAAATCAAAACCAATTGCAAAGCATGTCCCAAGTACTAATAAAATCCTGCATTTTATTTCCGGAATGAAAAACTCACTAGAGAAGTCCTAATGGCTGTCCCAAACTAGAGCATTCAAAATGTAATTTCCTGTATCTCAATCCTAAGGTTGGGTTATGTACACATGTAACAGAATCCCAAGATTTTCAGGATAGTCACTGAAAATTTGGAAATAACGTACTCTGGATTTTAATATGTGCATATTATTAAGTAAATCATCCATTACATGTTGTCATGTTGATTGAATACCAACATGCTTACCGACGTAACCAAATTGGGTGCATGGGAGCAATATTGGTCCAGACAATAAGGACCTTGTCGGCCTAGGAGAGACTAGTAAGTCAGCCTGGAGGTGGTTGGCCACTTGGCCCATGGAACTCTGTCTTTAACCAGGAGGGTATAAATATGTTGTGATAAACAAGTCCCACATTGATAAAATAAGATAAAAAAAATAACAACTTATAAAGTCCACACATACTCCAATAATTGAGAGATTTTTTGGGTAATAACCAAATGTAAAATCGTGAGGATTTAAGTCCAAAACAGACAATATTTCATTATTGTGAAGTTGTGTGTAAAATAACCTTATAAAAATAATCCTTATAAAATATCCTCTTATACAAATAGTCAAATACCATAAAATAACCCCATCGAAATAACAATAGATTTTACAAGGAAATTATAATGTGTGGCAATCAAGTCACATGGTGCATCACATTACATACCTGATACATTTTGTTCAGAGATTCTTTGGGGAGGTACTTCCTATCCAAAGCATGCTTGCTTTGGTTAATGTATTCTGTTAAGCCAGTGACAAACTCTTCCTTGGTTATAATTTGGTCACCATTTCGGTCAAAAACTTTTAACATGTCTGCAATCTGTTCCTCTTTGATGTTTGTGTCATTTAATTTGTTCCCAAACAACAGATCTCTTATATCAGAAGCTAATATGTCCTTGCCCCCACGTTGACTAATTTCATGATACAGCCTGAATTACAAGTATTATCGGTTATGTACACAATAACTGTTTAGATTTTAAATAACTAAGAAAATAGCAGTTTAATCTGGTAAGAAATGTTTCATGAAACCTCACTCACCCACTTATGGCATTTACATTGGGAGTCCCATCCTCGGTGAGGATCTTTTGCAGAGTTTGTTTTTCAACGCGTTGAAAAATTCTTAATATTAAGTCATCATGTTTGATATACTCCAGCCTTGTTTTTTCTATCTGAGGTTTAAAGACCTGCAGATTCATTGGTGAAAAATGAGAATGCAATTTGGCATGCATTGGAAAAAATCAAATAAGAGACTCCTAAAAGTCTGAACCTATTATAGTGTGTAATTGTTTAGTTCTTTCTTATCTAACAATTAGACAAAGCAGTTTTAGGACCAACTCAGCAAATAGAAAGTGTTGAATGGATGAGAAACCTGGTAAATGAAGTATGAGACAAGAAAAGCAACAGCAACTATGAGAGCAACCATCAAGGTCACATTGCGTGGTGTAGAAGAGAAGTGGAACAAATTGGGAATCTGCATTATGATGAGTGGAATAACTGAGAAAACCATGATTCTTGCCATCTTTCTAGTATCTACATCCATAGTGATACCATAACCTATAAATTCATCAAAAAGAGACTGTAAATGAAGGGAATGAGCTCACATTAAACATAAAGTCAAACAAATATAAAGGAGTTAAGGCAATGCTAATGATGAATTTGAAACTCCAAAAAGTATCAACTGCAATGGTTTGTTTTTAAATGAAGCGAATTAATGTTCATTGGCTTGTAATAGAGCCTGGGGGAAAAACAATTTAAAGGGCTCAAATACAGAGGAAGAATCAAAAGCAGACCAGTTAGTGATTCTTTTATTCCTACAGTTGATGAATTTGAGGCACCAGAGTCGGAATCATTTTTCAACTTTTGCTTGCCAATGATAACACAGGTTCCCCACACTACTGTCAGAAGCAAGATGGATGATCCAGCCAACAAACCAACACCAGTGGAAGCAGACTCTTGTGCACTCTCCTTGTCGCTGGAAAGTCCAGTAACTGATAACAAACAAGAACCCAAGACAAAATAATTATTAGGATAGGGTATGTTTCTAGTAAGTGCTATATATGATAATATACAATTTTTTTAATCATTAAATCAATGATATGAAGTATTTACCGACTTTATTGCTTAATTTTTTATTAAGTATTTTTCATTCACAAGATTAAAACTCAAGATCTTACTAAAAGACTTCATTGTAATCCAGACTACAAGTTGGTCTGTGATAATCCCTAAAATAACTAAAAATCTAAGCAATTTAACCACATACAGCTAATTTCAGCTAAGTCTCCTGATAGGTTTAAAAGGCTTTAAAATTTAAAAGAAAAAGTAGAAGCATACCAAGAAGAATTAAGGACTCGGGAAGGGCACCAAGAACATCAAAGGCACTAGCACCAAAAACACCAGGGCCAAGAATCTTGAAGATTTGCTCACCCCCAGAAGCCAAATATGATTCTCCATGGAACAACAAGTACTCATAAACCAAAATGAGGAAGAGATGGCCAAGGATGTTGTTGGAACATGGCAAGAATCCGTACATTTGCTTACAGTAGTCCTCAGGAGAAGAAGAACCAACCCTTTGGTCTTTGAGTTGCAGATAAGAGTAAGACTCTTGTGGTTGAACATCATCAACCCCATCAGAAACACTAGGGCGAAGAGAACGGCATTCAACCTGAACTTGAAGTGCTACTACAAAAGCAAAGAAAGTGAAGCATGCTGTTGCTGCCTTTGACATGGTTCTCATCTCGAAGAAACTGAACTAGAGAGAATTTGAAGCTGTTGAAATGCTTCAGCCCTCAAGTGGCTTTAAGTTATGCTTGCATGGTCAATTTCTGCTAGGCCAGATGAGGGTTGAGGATTCACAATCCAACAAACATCACGTGGATTATTAATTATAATTCTTAAAATGAGGGCCTTTAAAATTGTTAATTATGAAAGTGTCTGTTTTCCATGGTGCTTCATTATTTAATAATCATTATCAAAAAAACACAACTTTATTCCAAAATGCTCGGTGTCCATCCAAATATATAGAACATATTCTATACAGTGCCAGACACTTGTATCCTCAGCAAATATCTAGATCCCGGGATGACAATAACTACCTTGGACATTTTTAATGTGTGTTCTGTATTGCAAAAAATGATTGTAATTTTTTTTTTATAATGTTACAATCAATTTTTGTAATACTCTTTTTTTAGGAAAATTTGCATTCATCTCTCTTCATATATGAATAAATGACGTACACATTTTCTCTAATTTTTAAAATATTGTCATTAGTCAAAGTGACAAAAAGAGAAAAATAGATGTAAAAAATTTAAAATTAGAAATTATAGAAATTTTAGGATATTGTTTATAAATTTGATATTTTTATTGTATTTTTACAACACTAATTTAGGAAATTTTCAGCTAAATTGCAGTTTTTTTTTGTCAATTTATAATTTTGATCTTTCTATTTTAAAATAAAAATATTTAATTTTTAATTTTAAAAATATGAAATTTTGATCTTTCTATCAAATTAACATCTATTAATCGTTAAATTTTATCATTTATTCAGTCTCAAGTGATAAGACATTTAAAAATAGAAAAAAATTAAATAATCATACAAATAAAATTTATTAATAAAATAAATATTAATCACCGGTTAAAATATATAAATAAAGTTTTTTATGTTATTTTTTTATTTTATTTTTATCTCTAAATCTTCATCATTAAATATCATTTCACTTAAATAATGATAAGTTACTGAATAACATCAAAATTTAATAATTTACAAGCATCAAAATAATAATATGATCAAAATTTTATATTTTTTATAAAATATTTTTATTTTAAAATAGAGATCGCAAAATTAAAAATTGATAAAATAAAATGATGTAAAGTGTAATTTAATCGATAATTTTATTTTTTTTTTATCATTGATGAGAAGAATGAATGCAGGAAATTAGAAATTAGAAAACCACTTATACTGTATTATCTTTTTATGCATGCTGATAAATTAGAAAGAGAGTATGCATGCATTTTACACGTGCTGGACTGAACAAAAGACATTGATTGAGCTTTGCAAATGCCTCAAAAGGTTGTTGTGGATTTGGAGTCGTACGAACATCGTCTGAACTGTTTTAATTCTAAAGTGAAAATGATGTGCTATATATATGACTACATTGTGGGAAATTATTAGATTTTAAATTTCATTAAAATATATTAATAGTGTAAAATTATTTAATTGTAGTATTATTTTGTTTTACACTTACTAATAAAAGTTTTAAAAAAATGACACAATAATTATTTTATAGTTAATCTTTTTTATTAAAAATAATGTAATAACACAATAATTATTTTTTAAATAATATCATTAGAGATACATTTAAAAAATACGTAATATTGATTCTATATTTTAAGACTTATTTTTTCTTCAAACATGATACATAATATGGGATGACATGAGTAATATATATAATATATATACTCTCTTTAGACTCATATATAAAAAAAATATATTTAAAATTTTTGGATTTAAATATTGTTCTAATCGTAAGTCTGTTAACATTATAAACGTTCGGGGTATTGTGTGCTTTAACATTCGTTAGATCGTCATAGTTTTATCTTGAAAATGTGTCTTCGTTGATTAAAAAAGAGAGATCTTTATAAATTATCTTTAATTTCGGTTTTTAAGCGACGTAAAACTTTTAAATATATCGAAATAAATATTAAAAAATAAACTAATTTAACCTTATTTAATGTTATCATTTCAAAAATACCCCTTAAATTAATTGTAATTTCTATTTCTAATAAATATTTCAAGGGTAGTTTAGAAGTAAAGTTTAATTTTTTTATATGAAATCAATAAAATTGAATAAACTTAACTAATTTCCTAAATATGTGTGAATTTATACATTTTTACTTACATATGAATCGAGAGGGAATATGTACAGACACATAAATATAGAATGATAGTTAAAAATGTATTTAATTTTCATGATTTTAAATAAAATATATATTATATGTACTAAAATGTATATCCTTAATCACAATAATTGTAAATAGTATTTTCATTTATCGTCTTAAAGATATTTTTGGATTAAAAAAATTAAATAAAGTTGAGTTAGTTAAATTTTGTTTATATTTTGATTCAACCATTTTCAATGACTTAATTGGTAGGATTTTTTTTTTTATAAAAATTTATTAATAAAGTATATATTAATTTTTATAATAAATTCTCTAAGTTATTGGTGACATATAAAAATGATTTTTTTAAAATTTTAAAAAGTAATTATAATTTTTTTAAAATTGAATATTCATGTATTTGTTAAATAAAATTTGATTTTTTAATTGGCTCCTAAAATCTAACCCTAACCCCGTCCTCTTTTATATATATATATATATATATAAAATATAATATAATAAGATTGTTTATTTATGTAATAATTACTTTAAAATTTGTATTCAATATGGTTTTTAATTGGTTAACGATATGAAAATCCTTACATTCGTAACATGTAGAAAAAAAACTCTTAGATTTTCAAATAAAAATTAAGTATAAAATAAATCTACGTGTAAGAATTATTTTTTTTTGTGAAATACATATAATATTTGCATAAGTTATAATGTATAGCTAAATTAAATGTTGTTTGAGAGGGAAAATTATAAATTTTTACTAGTACTCAGATCAATAAATAAAATTTAAATTAAATTAGATATTATTAAATTTTGATTAATTAATAAGTAATGATATTTGGTTTTAAAATTTTAAGATGTTAGTCAATGTGGTAATTATAATGTCTAGTCCGGGGTCTTTTTTTTTTTTTTTTTTTTTTTTTGTTAAATCCTTAGAGAATTTATATAAATTTTAATTTAGATATTTTCTCTCTTAACTGTATTTATTCTTAATCTGCACTCAATTAATTATTATTTAAGTTACAAATTACTTAAATTTTCTTAAATTGAGTTTCTCATATTTTACAGTGTGCTCTCAACGCTGTCCGAGAAACAATCAAATTAGATAATAAAATACATGTTATTGAATTTAGAAAATTTGGTTAAATAATGCTACATAAATTTCATTCACAGTAACTTACGTAATATTTAATATATATAATAATTTGCAGAAACTTATAGATAAATAGTTACAAAATTTAGGATGTTACACTTCTATTTCCACTTTCTCGTTCTACCTGCTTCCTTCTTGAGCTCACTTTCCTTTGTTCTCCGTCCTTTGTTCTCCATCTTTTGTTCTCTGTCCCCCCGTTCTCTGTCTTTTGTTCTCTCCTTTATAGAAGAACTGCATACAGGCCGAAGCATGCTGCAAAAAAATGCCAGCTTGCCGAGTTTGAAGTTCCGAGAATTGTTTTACGCATGGCACCAAAACCAGACTTTTACACTAACATGGAAACCTTACAGGATAAGGAAAAAAGTTACACTGGCTACAAAACACATTTGTTGATACAGAGGAAGATTTGGCTTCTCTATTTTTCCTTTTTTTGATTTCTTGTTTTTTTTTTTTTTTTTTTTTTTGATAGAGTCCGGGTCTACTATTTTCTATATGAAAAAAAAAATGTAATATTTTTTTAGAAACGTACAATATTGTATAGGTCGGCTGTGTAGATAGATGTGCATTATATAGTGCGTTAAATTGGTGTTGTTGAAGGCTAGTTGTATGTCTTTCAATTTGATCCCATTTAATGTTTTAGGTCGATCAAGCTGTTTCTAGGTAGTGTTTGGTCTGATTTGATTTTATTTCAAAGAAAAGTTGGATAAAATTATTTGATATAAAAGTTTTAAACAAAATAAATAATTTATAGGAATAATGAGTATTTAGAAAATTAGTGCCTATATATGGGCTATGCATGGGACAAATAATGTGTAAGGAAGTAATATTTTTTTATATATTTTTAAAGAATTAAAATTAAAACTTGGAAAATAATAATAAAAGTTATATATATATATAATTATTTTCGATTTTCTTATAGTTATTTTCAAGTTAATAATATATTAAATAATGGTTAAAAACTCTTAACTCTCAAATAAATAGTTGAAAATCACAATCAAAACATAATATCATAATATTTGATAAAACAAAGAGCTAATTGTAGATAATATCGATCTACATTAAAAACACATTATGTGCGATGCCAATTTTAACAGAAAAGGAAGCAAGTGTCCTACCATAATCTAAAGTTAGAAATTTGATTATTAAAAAATTTGAAAAAACAACTATTTGTATTCTCACCTCTACTCCATCCAAAAAAAAAATCTTATGTAAACTATTTTGTTGAAAAATATGCAGAACGAAGGCAAAACTTCTTAATTTTATACTTTAATTTGTTATACTAATAGTCAGAAACAAACTTCACAACCAAAAAGAAGAACAAAAAATTAAGAAAAGAAGGTAGAAGCAAAATAAGTATATTTTAATTGATTTTATTAGAATGAAATAATTCAAATATTAATCAAAACAAAAGAAAACCACTAGCCCATGTTGATATATCATAACTATAACAATCTAACTTATTATAAGTAATAAATGGAACAGTCATGATGCATAATTATCTTAAACAACATATTGGATAAATTACTAAAACTTTAAATTTCATTAGTCATTTTGGTCCCCATTCTCCAAGATAATAACAATGTGAGTTAGCGTGTGACTTGGCGCATTATGTGCTATATTAATTGGCAGTCACATGAAATGCTACATGGATGAACACCAAATGACAAGATATCAAGGGTCAAAATATCAGTAAAGTATGTAATAAAATGGTATCTAGGAAATTAATAGTGTAAGGGATCTTAATTGTATCATCTAACCCACTTAATAAACTTAATAAGTCTAGTTCAGTTCCCGGCTCCTACAAATTTATGAAATTATTTAGAGACTAAAAAGATAATAAATTGTATATGTTAAGGTTAAAATGATGATAATATTTTTTATTTCAATTTAATTATGTAACAGTTAATTATTGTATGTGTATGTTTAGATTAACATTGAAAAGTTATACTTCATGTAAAATACTTTAAATGGTAAAGCAACTATATTTATGGATGGAAAAAAAAAATATAAATTTTATGTTTAACACGACGTTTCTCTAAACAAATCCATCTTGTATTTGAATTTTAAATTTTTTATTTTGAAATAAATTACTTCATCGTGATCTAAACAAATCCATCTTGTATTTGAATTAATTTTTTTTTAAATAAATTACTTTGTGATCTGATTTGAGGAATTAGTCAATTATTGTTATATGTAAATACCCTGATATCGATTAAAATATTGAAACATTACAAGTACAAACCCCGTTAGAACTTGGATCAATAAAAGAATAATAATCCTCACATATCACGTGAGTCATCCAATATAAGTCATTTGTTATATAAATATGATGTTTGATATCATACCAGTGATATCATCGTATAATAAATGTGATATATAATATGAGAACTTAAAGATGAATAAGAGCCTCTCCTAGCTTATCCAGAACATGTACTGTGGTTCTATTCATGGATTTGTCCACACTGCAATTCTGTCCATACGAGAACGATGTCTTGTCTTCATTCACTTCGCTTCTTTGTCCACTTCTGGTTGGAATAAGGATTCATAGATTTTTTTTTCTTGTTACAGACAAAAATGTAGGATCAATTTTCGGTAAAAATACGAGTGAATAACTTTTTTCATTTTTTTTTTCTGCTCTACTTTTATCAATACTTACACATGTAGTATATTTGGAATAAAATATCTTAGTAGGAATTTATTTGGTTGATAAGTGAAGTTTTTTTTTTTTTGGTGAATAGTGAAGTTTTTTTTTTTTGGTGAATAGTGAAGTTTTGGTTCGGGAAGTTATCAAACTGAAGTTGATGATTTCAATCTAAAAACCTTTGTTTTTTTTTTACCGTTGATTTGGTTTTAAATTTTTTTGAGGGTATAGAAATAGAGGTTTAATCAAATTGTCAGAATTTAACTTGGTTATAGTTTAAATTTGATTTGCATTTTAATTTAAATTGACATTCTAACGAATAAATTAATGTAAGCATTCTAACGAATTAATTAATTTAAAAAGGTAACTCTATGTAATGTATATCAAACATGATAATTAACGATTTCTATGTTCGAACATTACAATCTTTCCTATTCATTAAAATTGTAGTAATATGGGAGTTTTCAATGTTTAATTTAATTATATAATTAATTATTGATTGTAGTTAGTATTGTTGTTTTAGTGCTCTAGAGTCAATGAATTTTAAGAGTTGGATTCTCTTTAAGTAATTGAGTCAAAATTAAGTTAGTTTAATTTAATGGATGATATATAAATTTTTTTTAAGACGTGAATCTCATAAATATTTATATTGTAAGAAATCTTAGATAGAAGCTAGTAAGAAATTCTCTTAAACTTGAGTGAATTTTTTCCTCTTTTTCTATTTAAACCCTCCTCCTATCTTCCTTGTAGTTAATAAAGACTTGTTAAGTGAGTGATTCGAAGCTTACGAATCCTAGAAACCCTAAGTCGGAAAGTCATACGGAGTTGATTCTTCTTTTTTCCTCTTCTTGGTTCAGATTAACAAGAGGTAAGAGAAGTTTTGTGATGAATCATTATTGATGCATGTTGCTTGTTAATGTTTGAGTCACTCTAATTGTAGTTGAAATCAGATTGAATATAAGAGGTGATGATTGATGAGTTATGGTTGATAAAACAAAGAGCTAATTGTAGATACGAAATGATATCGATCTACATTAAGAACAACTTGGTGACGTTAAGCCCTAGAGGTGTGGTGTCCAACGTGATCAAGTTAGTGAATCACTACCTAAATGATGTTGGGTATAGGTTGAGTGGTGTCTGGCGTGAGTTTAGTAGAAACTCTTTGCCTGAGTGAGGTTGGGCATGGATTTTGTCATGTCAAGTACGAGAGACTCAGAAGTTCTTTATCTTATCCACCTCAGGTGCAAGCGGATTGACACTGGATATGGACAAGACAGAAAACCCGCTATTTCAGTAGCGTCGGACGCTTAAAGAGTGGTGTCAAGTGTAAAATGTTGAAATGAAGCATGATGTTCTAAGTTATTTTCATGTTGAAGTATGATGAATTTTTTTATTTGAATGCTGATATATGATGATGTTTTAAAGTTGTCTATCATGATAATTGATGAAGTTGATTAAGTTGTAAGATGTTGATGTTTTAAGTTGTATGTTAGTAGATGATGATGTTGTATAGTCGTATGATGTTATAGTTGATTAAGTTGTTAAGATGTTAGACATGTGGTGAAAATACATATCTTTTCTAAAATAAATAAAAATTAGAGGAGAATAAAAGTTGTTTTATAAAGATCAAATTCAATTCAAAATGATATTTTTGTTGCCTACCAATTAAATATGGTCTATGCATCATAAAATTCCACGAGGGAAAAATCTAACGTACTAATTACTATTTTTCAAAATTCAACGGTTAAAACTCATCATACAAGCATAGAGTAGAATCTTATAACTACAAAACTCACTTAAGCACTTTCCAGCAAACACTAAATATATCAAGCAAAGTGAATTTTGAAACCTGCCCTTAAATTGTTACTTTAATCTTTTTTATCTAACGCTTGTTAACATTATTGAACACTTCGGATTCTTTTATATTATAAGAGAACACCACACCTATCATATTTATTTTAGTTTTATTTTTTGTTGCCTACCAATTAAACATGGTCTATGCATCATAAAATTCCACAAGGGAAAAATCTAACGTACTAATTACTATTTTACTAATTAATATTTAGATGACTTACCTCTACACGGTTCTATACATCACAATGTTCGGAGCAGCAGGGATAAGGCCATGCGTGTCATCTTTTGGAGTAGACCAGTTTGATGAAAGAAGCAAAAACTACAAGGCAAACCTAGACAGATTCTTCAACTTCTTCTATCTGTCAGTGACCATAGGGATAAAATATAAGTTGCAGAGACATTAAAATTCTGAGACTATTCATGTAAAATATAAGTTGGTTCTAATACAAAAGCATACACAAATGGGATAACATCAATAAAGAAAAATACACAAGTTAGATAAAATGCATGTGGATTTACTATTTACTAATTTTGGCAGCTTCGATGTATTTTTGAATGAAATCAGCTTGCTACTAATTTGACTTTATATCTAATTTTGACTTTGTGCAAAGCAACCATGAATTGTAGTTAACCCTAATCCATAAAGACACATAAAAAAAAGGAACCTTAAAGGGGGAAATATTCAAAGGTGTCGATGGTGATCCTTCTGATGAATTCCCTCAACTCTTCGGTGATGCCAAAAGTGTTGAGATCGACGTCGTTTCTGAAATAATGTTGGGGCAAATGCTTGGAAGCTTTGTTATCCTGGGATTGTTTCACTGCTTCTTCCGCAAAGCTTCGGGCTCTGTTCCTTTGTTTCTTCAACCCCGTCCCGTTCGAAACACCGTCGTTGAGAGGTTGCACGCTGAGAGGCTGATGTGAATCCAGCCGGGTAAAATTGAAGACTAACAAGCCCAAAGTCATATGATAAAGAAGAAGGATTAATGGTAGAATTTAAGTAGTTTGGGGGTGAATAATTAAATAAGTCCATTATCTTATTTTTTTAATGTAATTTTCATTTTATTTTATTTTATTAAATAAATCTGATGGTTTCGTTGCCTTTTAGGTTGCTAAGGAGAAATAAATGCTAGTGGAAATTAGTGGAAATTTATTGCTTAGTTAGTGGGCTAGTGAAGAGTCAATATTAATTGTTAGTGAAAATTTATGTCATCTTGTCCATCTAAGCTTATAAATAGGAACCTTTTGTAAAAATTTTAGAAGAAGAAGAGAAAATGAATTATTCATAATTTGGATATTTTTCCAATTGAGGGAATTTTCTCTCTCTAGGTTCTTAGGAACTACTTTTGATTCTTATCTTTGAATTTCCTAATTCAAAGTGGCGAATCTTCCTCAACTTATCAATCTTTAAGGATTGTGGCGTTGTTCTTCCATTTCTTACCTCAATCCATATTTTTTTTCTTTTAATTTCTTAATTATGAGCATTCCGACCTAGATAGATCTATAAAACGAATCCATCCCTCTGGGTTCTTATTAGAGGCTGAGAGGTCACAAGAGGTTCCACCATCGCTGAGAATTGAGAGAGAACACGACGACTGCACGAGAGGTTGAGAGCTTTTGAGAACTGAGAGAGGGAACAAGGGTTGTGGCTAGGAGACTGAACGGCGCGCATGAATTGAGAGCGAAGGCGCGAATTTTGGGTCTCCATCTAAGTCGATTTTACACAAAAACTGTTGTAGATCACTTAACATCTAAGTCGATTTTACTAAAAATCGTCATAGATATATTTGTGTAGGCTATTCTACTACGGGTATTGACTAAACCGTCGTAGATAATGTTTCTTTTATTTACAAAAATGTCACCGTATCTTATTCTACATCGTTTTTTAGTAAACCGTCTTAGATTGAGCGACTTAGATTATTCTTTTTGTAGTAGTGATGTTACGGTGCTTGGAAAGCTCAAGTTGGCTTCTAGATGGTAATTGTTTTAAGTTTCTCCTCTAGATGTTATGTGGTATTTGTATGTGGGAAAGGTCAAGACATACATGTGTAAAACAACCAACCAAGTAAAATACAAAGGCGGGGACTTTGTTCCTAACCGAGTATTGGAAAGGCATAGTATTTGAAGGGTAGTTAGTAGCTAATCTCATAGGTGGCTTAGTGTTGCAAGTTAAAGTCGTGTTAGGCTCATACTCAAACTATTTTACTCTGACAGTAGTACCAGACTTCCTAGTTTAAGTGGAAAAACCTGAGAAATCAAATTAAGTTGTTAAACATGTTTTCTATGAGGCCTAAAATTGTCTATACCTGACCTAGTTGAGATAGGTCAAATGTTGTGATTCAGTAGGATTTAGCCACTTAAATTGCTCATCTCTACTATAAGAGATCTCTTTAATTGATATGTGTGATGATGCATTAATTGAATATTGTTGATGATTAGGAATGTAATTAGTTGAAGTTGGTTGTGTAGTACTCAATGATAAATGGAAGTTGTATGTTGCTACTTAGTTGATTCAAGTTGTTACTCAATATTGTTATTATATATTAATTTTTTAACAAGCTTACCCTTCTTTTCTTGTGGTTAAAACTATAATGATCATACTTTTTCGCAACCGAGATCGCAACGGGACGACGAATATAAAATTTAGAACAATGAAGTTGCCACTAATGTTTATTTTTAAGGAAAAAAACATTAAAAAAACCACAAAGTAGAAAATGGTCTACAAAAATTAAATTTTCGAGTTCGGGAGTCGATTACGTGTAAGGAAAGTATTAGCACCTTACAACATTCGTCCTAAGACGATTACCTTTAATTAATTAAACAAATTATTTATATTTTATATAATATTTATCTCACCTTAGATTAATTGAGATAAATTAAAATTAACTATAACAATCAAATGTATTTTATTTAACTAGTACATTTATTTTATAAAAATCAGAATTATTATATAAAAAAGATAATATTATTATTTTTTTGGCTCGATAAGATTTATTTATTACTCCTACGTATCTCCACATGTAATGGAGAATCAAAGTCACGTAATTCTTTGTAAAAAATATTTGTGTGTTAATATATTTAATTAAATGTTATTTTTTATTAGATTTAAGATTCATGAACTGTCTCAGCTCATTCACCTTAAAATATAAAATTGACTGAGGTGTACACCAAAGTCAATTAAACAAAATATTTAATTTTAATTATAATTATTGTCATCGATATTATTATTACTATGGTACATACTTAGAAGATTTTGGTTGGATATTTTTATTTTGGAGAAAAAAATTAAAGATATCACAACTTGTATCTTAAATTCAAAGGTTAAAAAGATGTCAGATCTAAATAACCATTCCTCCAATAAATTTTTGATATAGTGACTTAAAATATTTATATTGAATATTGTGATAATACCTTTGGATATTTAATTATATTTTGAATTTAAATAAGGACTTTAAGGTAACAAATTGTCACAACTTACACCTTTAAACCCTAGAATCAAGAAAATGTTACATTCAATTATTCATCTTTTAAATGTGTTTATTATAATTTGATTAAATTACAGATATTAGTCTTAACTTTCATCAAGTGCTTTATTCTAAAAGACTTAGAACCTCAAAACTGTCACAACTTGTGTTCTAAGAATTTAAGGTCAAAGAGATGTTACACCAAATTAACCATATTTTAAATTTTGAATATTAATTATTTTGTCATTAATCAATAAAAATATTTAAATTGTTTTTAGTATTTTTATCTTATAGTAAATATATAATTAATACCATTATAAGTATAAAAGTAAAATACAAACAACGCACTTATTTTAACAAAGCTTCATTCATCTAGATTTTTTTTATATATGCAGACCAAATAATAATATTAAACAAGATCATCTTCAAGGATAGTAAATTCATATATATTGCAGTGAAAGTAAGAGGCAAAAGCTAACGTAAAAAATAAAATTTACAAGTAGGAAGCATGCGTAACACTATTAATGGCAAAAAGGAAAAATGAAAACAAATGACATACATATATATGATGTGAACGTAGAACACAGAGGATACAACAAAATAATATTAAATTATATCAAATCATGTTGTAAGAGGCAAAAGCTAACGTAAAAAAATAAAATTTGCAAGCGAGAAGCATGCATAACGCTATTAATGGAAAAAAAGAAAAATGAAAACAAGTAACATATATATATATATATATATATATATATATGATGTGAACGTAGAACGTAGAAGCTACAACAAAACAATATTAAACTATATCAAATCATGCTTTTATTCTTATAATATAATTAAGAAAAGGGGATGGGAGCTCATGATGATAGAGACCTGTTTGTGACAAAAGTGTTTATGATAGTTTCATTTGATGGGTACTTGCTTGTAGGTTCGAGGTGGGTACTGCTGGTATGAGGTTGGCGCACAGTGTAAGGGCTGATTTCCTCAAGAGTGTTTACATGGTCTTTCTTCAATGGCACATCATCGATGGTATGTGCACTGATTGGACATTTCCGTTTCTTTTCTATGGTTCCACCTGTGCGAGAGGTTTAAAATTTTTTACAGCATTCCCCCAAAGAAAGTCCTCCCTTATTCTTATATTCTCTCATTTATAGAAAAAAACGTATAGAAGGTCAAAGCATGCTGCCAAAAAGTGACAGCTAGCTTAGTTTGCAGTTCCAAGAATCACTTTACGCGCATGACACTAGAGCCATATTTTTTACACTAACATAGAAACCGTAAAAGATAAGGAAAAAAATTCATACTAGCTACAAAAGGTATTTGTTGATACAGAGGAAGATTTGGCTTCCTTATTCTTTGTCTTTTTTTTATTCTCTTGTATATATATTATTAGAGTTTAAATCTGGTTTGTAAAATATTTTATTATTGAATCATTGACTTGAAAACTTTGAGAAAGAAATTAGTGGAAAGATTAATGGAATAAAATTGGTGTTTACATACTTGGTATGAGAGTAAGACAAGATTAACAAGCTGACTTGTCTAGTTGTGGAGGGTCATATGAGAGATGACCAATTTTATTTTTGTGGTATTGCTCTTATGTAGTTTTGATCTTGTATAGGTTCTTGACAAATGAGTAAGGTTCTGCTTGTATACAGTGATATCTTGTATACATAGTATATATGTTAGGAGCTATTTTTAGTTTTCTACTCCTCACATATGTTTATGTGCATGAGATCTATTATCTGTTGCATGATAACTCTAGGTTAGTTGGTGTTTATTATTTATTTTCATTAAGTAGTAGCTAAGCTATAGTAAGTGTAGAACTTATCGAATCGTTATAAAAAAAACATGATAATTAACTTTTAAATAAATTTGAATATTTTTCTAGCACATTGTTTTTATCATTGATTGAAATTTAATATTAAATAATGTGCTACTAACATTTTTATGTTTTATTAGGAAAAACCAAGTCTCATATATTCACTATTGATATAGTCAAAATAAAGTATATATGTAATACTATAAGTTTAGATATTTTAATTCAACTATGTGATTAAATATTGTTGTGTTGTTATGAATGCTATTTTTAGAACTCTAGAGTTAAGGGACTTGGAGAGTTAGGACATCTGTAAAATATCTCAAGTATAATTAAGTTGGTTCAGCCTCAAGAAGGGTATATAATATTTTTTTAAGACGTGAACCTTAAATTCATGTTTTAAAAAATTCTAAAGAAAAGTTAGAGAGAAACTTCCTAGAACTTAGAACACTCCTATTTTTTCATTTTCTAAAAATATTTTCCTTTTCTTCCCTGTAGATAAATCAATTGGTTGAGTTGGAGATTTGAAGCTTGTAGAGCTAAGAATCTAAGGTCAGAGGTCATACAAAGCTCGTTTCTTTATTCTCTTCTTCCTCTTCTTAGTTGGATCAACAAGAGGTAAGGGAAGCTGTATGTTGGATTTTGTTGGATTGCATGTTGATGATTTGCTATTTGATTTCATAATTGATGGCC